ATGCCAAAGTAGCATTCCTAAAGATCGTTTACAGGTATGTGCGAGCGTGTATTTTTCTATTTCTTTGTTTTCGTTTAAATAACATCCTTTCCTTTTCTCAATCGCAGATGGCCCACCTTTGGCTCTGCCTTTTTTGAAGTGAAGCAAACCACCGAGCCGAACTATCCCGAAATGCTGCTCATTGCCATTAACAAGCACGGCGTGAGTCTCATACATCCAGTAACAAAGGTATGAGCAGCACAAAACAACTATAATCGCAATAGCATATTATATTAACAAATATTTAATACGATTGCAGGATATACTGGTTACGCATCCCTTTACACGCATCTCGAACTGGTCATCAGGAAATACGTACTTCCATATGACAATTGGGAATCTGGTGCGTGGCTCGAAGCTGCTCTGCGAGACATCTCTCGGCTATAAGATGGACGATCTGCTAACTTCATATATATCTTTGATGTTGACCAATATGAACAAAAATCGAACAATACGAGCTAACTAGTAAAGCTATCTAAAAAGACTCCCACACACACACACACATATATATATATATAAATATCTATATATATATATTTATAATAATTATAAATTATAAATGCAATAATTTATATAACTAGGACCTATAGTCAATTACCTATTGTGCATCCCTACTTTGATAACACATTCGTTTTTGGCTTATTTAGCTGCTATAATTTATACCAAACCCTGTTTCATATTTATATAATGCATTTCTTTTGTAAAAATATGCAAACTTTTGTTTTTAGTATCTTAGCTCACATTCCGTTTACTTAAATTATTGATTTAACATATCAAGTTGAAGGTCTTACATATTATCCTTATAGATAAGCAATATTATCTATGCATTTTGCACTCTATATAACTTTATGTATATCTCAACTGCATATCTGTACTGATGACGTTTTGTATCAAATACATAGAAATGTTCAATTATTTAATAAATTATATATATACACAAGATGTGTTACATGTTTATTTATTCTGCATAGAGACATTGCAGAATTATTTATTTTGATTATGTCTTGATACTAAAATTCGCGCATATATGTTATGCACTATTAATATTTTGACTGTGTAAAAAATCATTTAACTTTTCTGTTAAATCATTTTTTCCAGTTTCAAGCGGTTTTCGTTAGTGTAACAATATTTTTGGCAACTGTTTTATTCACTGCCATCACTGTATCTATTGTGAATGAAACAACAATCGATAACGATTGTCGTGTTTTAAGCCTCTGTTATAGCTCTGTTCACAATTTTTAGTCCCGTTATATGTGAAAATTAGTGCGCGTTTTTGTGTACGTAATAATAAAATTGTGTTTTAAAGTGCAAATTAAACTAAAAAAGTGCAAAAACTCCATTTAATTGCAACAATAAACAGTTGGGTAAGTGTGCATTTGTTACAATTATGTGGGAATAGCCAAGAAATTTACTTCTCAAAATGCCCAATCGAATTTTTCAATGGCCGCAACAATGGGCAACATTTTTAATCATAAATAAATCCCAAATGCAATGCAATTAAAAAAGTGCGCCTGCAGTCATTGAATGCGCGTAGGCGGTCTTTATATTAGAAACCTTTAAATAAGATACAACTTGCGGCAGGGACTGCCACTGCCACTGCCAGCGCCGACGCCGGCGCCTGCGCTGACGCCTGCGTCACTGCCCAAAGCGCCCCACAGACTGCACGGCGCTCTGCGCAGACTGTTGTGCAAAATGTTAGCAAGTTCTAGCTGTGCACGCGGTTTGTGTACAGGCTAAAAAGGTTCAACTTCTCGATAGACTTGTGGTGCGTGGCAAAACTTGGCGGCACTCTTTCTCTGTTTAACATGTTTTTTATGGGAAAGTTTTGAGGCTTTTGATCAAATTATTGATGTAATTTTGTTTTGATTATTATATTATTTATTAAATTATTTTCGCTTGACAAATATAAACTCTTTAATAGGTAAAACCTGAATAGTTGCCCCGAAAATATTATATATTTTGTGACTTTACAAGCATATAGTGATACACCCTAAAATACGAATCCACAATGGAATTTGCTCCAAAGCATGTTTGTTTACATATATCTGGAGATTCGAATAATCTTCAGGCATATTGCTTAGATGAAATAAATGAGTGTAATATTAATTATGGGCTCTGATTGGAATATCAAACAATGGAACATCATTAGGTTGATTGTTTTTTATAGTTGATTTTGTTTCAGTTTTTTTAATCGCAGTTCGGTTTATTTATGTTACTCAGTAGTGGGCGTTTGACCTCAACAAATTTTAGTACTTACTCCAAGATTCTGGCGTGCCATCTCCTCCCAGAGAACAATGCCAAAGCTGCAAATGTCGCATTTCTTCGTATGCTTCTCGATAAACTACTCTTTCGATCATGCCATACAGCTTTATAGAGCTTGCCATAGCTATCGTAGTCTCTTTCCTTACAGATGCACAAATTTACCTACAATTTAATTGAATATCATAATACTGACACACATATATACAGAAATATCTATACATATATATACATATGTAACCTTCTTATATATAGGATGTAGACGTTTCTGTTCTGACCAACTGTACTTATGCAATTTTCTAGACTCTTATCAATTATAAACTGATAATAGTATCTAATATTAATAAGAGCTTTACAAAATGTTTAGCTCCATAAAATAGTTGCGGAATTCTTAAGCCCTTTCATATTTGTTCCTTTTTACGCTGATAATTACAGCGTTCTGTTATCAATAACATAGCGAATAACAGGCTGTTATGGTCCTGTTATAATTTTAACAATTCCAATCAGGGTATCACAGAATGGCTTTAATGCCTCGTATACCTGCCTAAACTAAACACCTAATATAATTTTGAATCGCATCAGCCATGTACAGGAATACGTGTCTTGTTCTTGGAAAATATACAATTTCATTTAACTGTGTAAAATGTGATTTGCAACAATATGCATTGCATAAAACCGATTGCTTGGTTGGAAATTGGTTGCGTTCTTTGAAGAACATTTCAGTTAATGATTGCAATTGGTCCCAACTGCTACTTCAACTAATTCAAATATAAATATATGTACTATAACTTAATATATGTATTTATTATTCTTTTTATATATCTGCTTTGATTGCATGCAACCCCTTTTGGCTCCCACACAACCGGCTGGCAATTCCCACGCATTGTATGGTTAGAATTTTCACAGCGTGTGAAAACCGGCAGCCGGCTTAAAAGTCAAGACTCAGATTTTTCAAGATAATTAGTGCAGTGGAAGCTCCTGAGAATTTTTTTTCTTTTTAACGATTCTCCCCTTGTACCTGTAACACCCATCTGTCCAACCAGACACAGCGAGGGGCAAAAATTATGCACTCGAAATGTGAATGTTCATTAAAAATTCAGCTAATTTCATATTCAGCTTCTTATAAGATGTCGTGCGCGGCAACGCGGCAACGGCCTTAAAGAAGTTGCAGTTCCAATTACAAAACTTGGTGGTGGTTTTTACAACTTGACCCCTTAGGCCCCTTTGGTTCAGTTCATCTCTCACGCAACGTAGGCGACGACGCCAAGTTTGTCGTTTGAGTCTTTCGTTTGCCATCTCCAGAAATTCCCATCAACTTGGGGGTGAGTTGCATTTGTTGCAACTGACTGACTCTTACAACTTGCTGACTCTGATAAGAATTGAGTCTCAGCTACACAAATTCTAATTAAAACAACTAAGAGTGTTTAAGTCGGGTGTGCCAGAATATGAGATACTCTGCAAAACGCTGCGAGCTGCAGTACAGAATGGTAAATTCACTTCTTCGTAACTTTTGTGTTTACAGTCCGATTTTTTGTACAATTTTCTTGATTGAAATACATCATGCCCATTAAATTAAAGCACATTACCCAAAATACTGCTAAAACGACATCCGAAATGAAGCATACTTTATTTGAATAAGGACTTTATTAAAAATAGAAAACTCTTGAGGGAGACTTAGCCACTTGCACGTCTACCATTAAATTTGTTTTTAATAGAACGGACAATTGGAAATTGAATTGTTGCATTAGAATTTAGAAAATACATGTTAAAACAAGCTGCGAACCAAATCTTGGGCTGATGGTTCGGAAAAACTGGAATATCTTATAATAAGGTCTCGTGAGATGTTCCTTGCTTGTCTTCGACACTTCTTCTTCTGTTTGCGATATATATATTTGAGTAACATTATGTTACCCATTTTAGATAAGTTCATGTGTATAGAGTATTAGGCGTAAACTTCAAGTTCGATGCTGTGATTAGTTTGGCAAACCCAAAACGGAAGCGCGATAATTAATGCAAAACTGCGATTGTTAATTTGTAAATCTGTAAAATAACAAAGCTAGCAACAATAACAGGTAGTCTGTCAAATAATGCATAAATATTAAACAAAGATAAAAAAAAAAAAACAGAAAAAGATTCTCAGCGCTGGGCCGCTTATTGTCAACGCCTTGTGGGGCTGTGTGAATATTCTGTTCCTTCAGCGCCAAACGGAAACAATGCCGCGTTATATATGTATATATATATATATATATATATTTCTTGACTTTGCGTTTTTCGTAATGGCAGCTAAAAATTCAAATCGACCAACCAACTGTAATTAAAGTTGAAGAGGCAGCCCACCGTGGGAAGTGCTGCACTTGTTTTGTTTTAGTCTCAAAAATGTTCACACGACATGGCAACATTTTCCCATGCCGATTTAAATCGACTATTCGCCTTACCAAAAGGGGCTGTTGGCGGGATTTGTACCTATTTTTTTTTTTGTTTTTGTATCTTTAGCTGGTAGGTCATTTAAAGCAAAGCAAAAAGAAAATGTTAAATCATGACAAATTCATATTGTTAGCTGACATAGTTGATGTTTGTTCTGGTATTTATTTAGATTTAGGGGTTTCTCTTAGGCTTACAACTTTCTTCATTCAGTTATCTTACAAAATTATATGCTTTGTAATATATATATATATATATATATATATATATATATATATACTTATTTATATATATATGTATATGGTCTAATGCTGGGCTTATGTTGCGCTTGATATAAATTGTTCTCAAGTGTGCCTGTTGACTGTAGCTTTTTAAAGTGGAATGTTGTACAAGATGTTCAGCAAACAGTTGTTATATATATAAATATATGGGCGATCCAATTGAGTTGGCACAACGCATAGGCCCAGCATATAGATCAAATGTTCTATATACTATATAAATGTATATTTAACTAGAGTTACATTTAATTCTTTATGTCAGTGAGCTCTTTCGAGTTATTTACAAATATATATTTTGCATTTATACATCTATTGGTACCGGCTAGCACTACAAAATGATAATATTGGTCAACTTGAAATTGGTTTTTCGTTTTGTTCGCCTCGCATTCAGAGAGTGAGAGTGAGTGGAGAGTGAACAACTTAAGAACTAAGCATGTGTTTAAAAACTAAATATGTGCTAGACGAACTTTAAATAACTTGGCATAAATAAATGTATATGAAATTGCAAATAATAGCAATACTGCCGCACTCAAGACAAGCCGCTCCCATGACTATTCCATTGCACTTCCGAGATGGAGGGTAGCGTTTGATGCGTTTGCTGTTGCATGCTCTGCTGTAAGCTGGAGCCGCCAGCTGGTGAATTGCTGCTGTTGTTGTTGTTGTTGTTGTTATTGTTGTTGTTGTTGCTATTGTTATTATTGTTGCTAATGCTTGTGATGTTATTGTTGTTGTGACGCGTACGCATAACATCGTCAGCCTGATTACAATGCGATCGCGGACCCGGCTCCGGCGTATAAGTGAATGTGAGCCCAGTGGCATAAATGATGCCATCGTTGCGTACCAGCGATATTGGCACCTGCGTTGGCTGTCGCACCTGAGCGGAATTCAAAGACAAAAAACTGTTTAAATATCAGAATTCACGTGCATTTCAACCGAAACATACCCAAAGCCATTCGCCGCGAAATTGTGAGATTTCAGGCACCACACAGAGCAGCGTTTCGGCGCAGCGATACATGGTCTCCGCCTCGACATCGCCAAACCAGACCTGCAAATGCGGCGTAAAATTGTCGCCGCTCAGCTCCAGCATGGCCACATCGCCGCCGCCATTAAGATTCAGCGAATTGACAATTGGCACTGGCGTCACCGGTGAGCTAAGGAGCCAAGCAAAGATTATAAACAATAAAAAAGGAATATGGATTCTGATTTGAAGCACTTACGCAACGGGACCCATGCCCTCGTAGAACTGATATTCGGCCTTGTCGGTGGATATGATTGTCCAGCAGGCGCCATCGTTGATCATTTCCTTGTTGGGCTCCTTTGGGCAGGGCGTGGCCTGAAATTGTATGATCTTCTCCTGGGACAGGCACAGATACATGCGATCCGTGTCCTTCATGTAGAAGGCGCACTTGTGCAGCTGCGAGACCGGATCATCGGCCTCCAGCAGCGCCATCTGTTTATCCACTTTGCGTATGATTAGACGCGGCAGCGCCATGCCCGTAACAGAGCATACCAGCTTAACGGTGGCACCATAGTGTATATAACCATCGCGCACCTGAAACTCCTCCGATTCGGATTCATTATCATCGAGCAGATGTATCGTGAAGGCGCCCCACTGTGTCGATGAGGCATGGAAATGCCCGTTCTCCACGTGCAGATACCGAGTCGAGACAGTTTGGGAGCGCAGGCGATTGAAGAGGGCGACATTGGTGCCGCTGGCTATGCACAGGTCGGCATTCTTGAGCGATTGCTTCTTTTTGGACGGCTTCGAGATGACCTTGATGCGCTTGGAATTGAATACGCCAATGTCGTGGCCATTGCCATAGAACATTTTCACCGATAGCATGAAATGCTTGCGCTTATCCGAATCCGATATAAACAACGTCTTCGCTGCACAATACTGTTTGCCATTGAGATCTAGCTGCTGCATATCCTGATCGCTGCTGCCAATGCCAATGAATGCGCATAGCTGTGCCCCCTGCTCGCCCTCGCCCTGCTGCAGCATCTCCTCGTAGCGTCGACGCCAGCCGCTGCCAAACAGATAGATGCACGGTGGCGGGCAGAAGAAACGCTTCTCATTGCCATAGGATTTCTGTGCCACCTGCAGGAGTAGCAAAAATTCTCAATTAGCCAACTAGCCGGGTAAATCTAACAAATAACTTATAATAATAATAATAATATTAGTAATAATAATAAAAATCAGTGCTTCGATTATCGACAGAGACAAATCGTAACAAACTGTAACCGCAGCAATGCAGCTGTTAAATTTGTCGTATAATTAATTTCAATTATTTTATTGTGGCCGCCGTTTGCTTAATTTGGGTGCACTCAAGTGTGAAGGATGCGATGCCTGGACGGCGGCCGATGCTTGAAGATAGCCGCGTCAAACCGCAACAAATGCCCGCACTGGAGCAGCCATTCGCTGTGGAATTGCAAGTGGAGCCCACACATTAACCCAAGCCTACCAATAAATAAATAAATTCACATATAAAGCTGTTCACAAGCTCTTGTCAAATCTGTGGATGACGTCACCTCCGGAATATTTGGAATATATATATAAATATATATATTTTTATGTATATATAAAAAGGAGTAGGAAAAGAAATGCAGTCCAAGTATTTTGAAATATTCCCAATGTAAGGACGTATTTACGCACCTTTCCTACGGTCTTCTATTATTCTTGTCTTGGATTATTCAAATACATCCTTTATCCATATAACTTTATACGTTCAATGTAACCTTTTTTTTTATTAATTTCATTTTCATTTTTTTTTTAGATTTTTTTTTTTTTTTAGATACTAATAAGATTATTGAGATATGCAAAATATTTATATAATCATTGGAAAACCCCGTAAAAAAATATCTGCACTAATTTCAAGAAAATTTCTATTTTCTCGGGCAACTTTTCATAAAAGTCATTATTTTTGGGAGTACTGCAGATAAAAAACTGTTGAAGATTTAAAATCCTTTGAAAGCTATATATATATATTATTACAGTCATATTCAAAGTTCCATAGATCTTATAGAAGCTAAAGGATTTACTAACTCGATATTACCAAAACTTCCAAAATATTAGATGCTAGCTAAATCTTGAATTTGCTAAATTTGCTTAAAATATATTTTTATATATATTTTAACACATTTTTCTAACAAACATTTCTTTCACAACAAGTCAAAGCTGAGCCTGATTTATATTTATACTTAATAGTTCAATAGACTATGCACACATATAAATTGTATGTATTTGTGACGTCACGCTGTCATGTTAATCCTCTCTCTCTTTGTTGTTGTTTCACACTAAACCCACCTTGGCGTGCAGTATGACGATGACCATGTCGTTGCGCTCGCGCATGTACTTCTCCATGGCATCGCGCGTCAGCTTCTTTTCCTCAATGTGCGACCGGTATGGACCTGGCACAGCTACCGGCAGCATGGACAGTTGCATTTGTTGTTGTTGTTGTTGTTGCTGCTGCTGTTGTTGTTGTTGTTGTTGTTGTTGTTGTTGATGATGCACTTGTAGCTGCTGCTGCTGTGGCGGCGGCGCACTGCCCAGTCCAAAGTGCGGCATATCCTGGCTGTGAGTGTGCAGCTGAGTATGCTCCAAGGAGTTGCTATTGCTGCCGGCTGCTACTGCTGCGGCTGCGTTCTCGTAGACAATGGCGGGCGGTGCGGCGGCAACAGCGTTTAAATTAAATTGGCTGTAGCTCTTCATTTAAGCACATGCTGTTTTAATGTCGTCTATTATTGTTGTTCTTTTTTTTTTTGGTTTTTTTTTTTTTTTTTTTTTGGCAACTTGTTTAACACTTTGGCACTACTTGCACTTACACTTGTACTTTGTTTGTGTTTTGCTTTTTTCGTCTTTCAAGTCGTTGTATCCTGGCACAACACACGCAGCAGCAGCTGTCGTTTCTCACGGTTTCGCTTTCGATGTTGTTGTTGTTTTTTTTTATTTTTGTTTTAGAATGCCCGCCTGGCCACAATTAACAAGTGTAGACTTGGGAGCGCGAGTGCGACTACGACTGAAGCTCGTTGCGGCTAGCTGCTGTTTAAACTAGCAACTAAACTGTGGTAACTGATTTATAATAAATAAAAACGAAACCAAACCCCACTAGCAAGCAGCAGCTACCAAACAAACTAGGGTTGTTGTTATCGTATCGATATCTGCAAATATGCAACTATCGATAGGTGGATAAGCGTATGCGATATGCGTATGCTCTATCGATAGCTTATAAAATCTGTGACGTCAGTTCTTCAATACTTTTCACTTTAGGTGTGCCGGTGACATCGCTAGAGGCCTGCTTGCATAAATTCATTTTAAAACATTTATTATATTTATTGCGTACATTTAAAAAAATAAAATAATTTAAATCGTAGTTTGCCGGCGACCTTTTTCGAAAATATTCATCACATTAATACGCCTTCGCTGTGACTATATAAAATGACGATTCACAAGCAAGTTGGCAGCTCCTAGTCAGTTTACAGTCAAGTTGGCAGCAACACAACCTGTGTGCGCTTAAAAGTATTATAAAATTCTAGAATCAACCGCACAAACAATGGAACAGTTTAAGGGCTTGCAAAAATCCCTATATATATGGACTGATAGCGCTGAGCTGGATAAACGCGTAGAGACACTGAAGGCGGCCACCGGCGGCGAGGTGGCTGTCGAAAATGTGCATCGCCTGTCATTTTGTAAGTGTTAACATAGTGTGAGTCAGCATGTTTATTGCCAATTGCATGCATTTTAGCTTCTTACGCCAATTCGAGTTTTGATCTAATTGTGATTGAATGCGCCCAATTGACTGACAATTATGTAAAGCTGCTCCACATGCTAAAACCGAGCGGCATACTGCATTTGTTTGCCTACATTGGACCGGCCGGCAGTCTGTTGCAGGAAATCAAGCTGTCTGGTTTCATCAATTGCCGTGAGGATGCCGTTGCCAATACGCTGACCGCAGAGAAGCCTGGCTATGAGACGGGCTCCTCGGCCCGGCTATCGTTTGCCAAGAAAGCCTCTAGCGTGAATGTATGGAAAATAAGCGGCGATGATGAGGAGCTTATCGATGAGGAGGAACTGCTCGATGAGGAGGATAAACAAAAGCCAGATCCAGCTGGGCTGCGCGTCTGCAGCACCACTGGCAAACGTAAGGCATGCAAGAATTGTTCCTGTGGCCTGGCCGAGGAGCTAGAGAGCGAGAAGACAACCAAAACGGTTACCGAGAATGCAAAGTCCAGCTGCGGCAATGTATGTAGTAACGTCTATGTTTACGTGTGAAAAGGCAAAACCCATACAATAACGTGCTCTTGGAAATTAGAACTATTAGTAATTGGAATCGTCACCATACCCTTATAGCAGGCATTTCAATTTTCTCATGATGTTCGTAACGCCTGGCAGACATCTGCGACCTCACAAAGCACTTGGGAATTGGAACGTTTAGTAATTTGAGCCGTCATTATGCCCTTACAATGGGCGTTCTGATTATATCGCGACGTTCGTAACGCCAGGCAGTCATCGCCGATCTCAGATAGTGTAAATTTATAATCCATATTCGTCTGACTGTCTTTTATATAGATGAATCTTTGCACATGTCTATTGCAGGCAGTGCTTCGATGTTTATTTCGGATCACTTTATAATATAATTGAAGTAGGGACCATCTGAGTTCTTGCAACTACAATCTTATTGTTTTTCAAGGTGTCGATTGCTGTGTTATAGTATATCTCTCACGATATCTTAGCCAATTTGTTAGAAGTTAACTACATATTGGAAAAATTTGTGTTGTTTATGTTCAAGACTTACGTGGACCTAAAATAGTCTTTGTAAAAGTTTCTAAAAACCCTGTGCTTATGTTGTTTTATAAATTACATATAACATTGGGGCAATTTAAAATTTGTTTATATAGAAAACTAGAACTTACATCAATTTAGAGTTAATTTCCAATTAGCATCATTTAAGTAACCGACGCGTACTAATTTTCTCATGTTTTTGTTTTTTCTTCTATTATTTTGCAGTGTTATCTGGGTGACGCGTTTAGGTGCTCCACGTGCCCATATCTGGGTATGCCAGCCTTTAAGCCGGGCGAGAAGGTGCAGCTGGCTGATAATTTGCTGAAATCGGACATTTAGGCTAGGACGCAATGCAGCACATATAGACTTGGACACTTTATTAAGTGAATATAATTTCATAATTAAATATAAAATTAATTAATGAGAAAACAAATTAACTGCGCACAATCAAAGGCTCACTGTTCGCATGGTGTACCCTTGATAAGATCACGATTCTTGCCGGTCAATATGCGATAGTTGACGGCCGTGTGATCCAGCTCCTTGTATAAGAAGGTGGGCAGCCTGTCGGATAGCACCCAGAGTGAGCCAGTGCTGTCGACTTTTAGATCGTTGGGAAAGACCAAAGTATGCGAATCGGAATCAATAAGTCCCTGTGTATCCGCTGTATATGGACGATTGATATTCCAGCAAGCGATGGCATCCTTGTTCACCTGCGTGTAGAACAATACGCCTGTCTCCTTGTCGTACGCCTCGGACGTCGACTGTCCGTTCATGCCGCGGTCGCCGACAAGTTTAAAATCATTATAGGAATGGCCGCCATTGACATAACTCTCGTTTTGGAGCACGCGATTGGAGACCTTGAACTCCTTGGTGCTGGCCAGCGCATGGAAGTATATGTCCTTGGTGTGATCGGGTTTCAGTGGGCCAACGGCCAAGGCGAAAACGCCATCGGTCCATTGGAAATTCACGCCTCCCACATTGAAATCACCCTGCAGCGGATCAAAATGGAAGTAATTGTGGTTAACACGATAGGATTTGTTATCCCGATAGGAATAGACAATGACGCCATATGCGCCCAAATCTGGGACATATGCAAACGCATCATCGCACTGTTCACGTTCCACATCGACCACCTATACAACATGAGGGGAGGAGAAAACTTATTAAGTAAAAACCTTAATTGACTTGGCCAAGTGTACTCACAATATTAGCAAGGAACGTCTGATCCTTGGTCTGTTCGGCGGGTATGGCAAAGCGGCGCAGCAGCTGATCCGTTTTCAGATCAAACACCAAAATCGAATTGGGTGTAATCTGCTTGGGACTGCCCAAAATATCGGCGAGACCCGTGTCCATCACCCACAGACGGTCGCAGGCATCCACCTGAATGCGGAAGGTGGAAATAATGGTTGCATTGTCCTGTAATTGTATACCCGCATCTTGCGCCTTCTCCGCATCCAAGCGGCCACCGGCTGGCGTCTTCTGCTCTTGTGGCTGCACATCAATTGGCAGCTTGTTGGCCTCCCAGCTGGGATAGGGACGCAGTTTCGGTGATTTCTCACTGGTCGACAGATCAATGTAGTTCAGTGTAGCCGCTACGCCTGCCTTCCATCTAAGAGAGTGTATTAAAAAAGCAATATCGGTAAGTCTCAGACATTTTACCCATTTTCTATACTCTTGTGGGGTGTTTGAAAATGTCATAAAATAAATGATGCATAGTTGGCGACATCTCCGACCCCATGGAGTGTATATATTCTAGATCAGCATCAAGTCGGGTTAAGTCCGTCTGTCCTTTCTATGCAAACTAGTCTCAGTTTAAAAGCTATCGTATTGAAACTTTTGCATAGGTCCGTCTTTCTGTTGCTGTCAAAACCAGCTGGATCGGACTACTATATCATATATGTAACTGCAATAGGAACGATTGGTCGAAAACTGACTTCTTTTAGCAAAAGCTTTTTGTTTATGAAGATGTTTTGACCAAACTTGGCAATTACTAGTTTCACCAAGCTTTCAAAATATGAGCCAAATATTATTAATGTCGGACTACTATAATACTGTATAATATATATACTATATACTATATATAACTATACTAAAATGTAGCTGAAAACAATTGCCTGTTTTCTCAAGGTGCAATTACGATGTATACAATTCTCTACAGCTATCTGCAAAACCATAAGCCTACAAGGGTATTTAATCTTCGGCGTGCCGAAAATAGCCATTCTTTCATATTTAATGTTAAAAGGGTTTTGCTTGTGCTCATATTTTATAGAGTGTAGTTACTCATTTTAAACATGTTAAGCCCAAAAACACTTTTATCCTGAATCGATAAATATCGAGATCTTGAGATTATTCGGGTTAGAGGCATCGAAATTCGGCACAAATGTTCTCTTAGAGCACACTTCAATTGAAGTATATTCACTTTTTTATAACAATTTCTTCCGGACTTTTAAATTTAAAAAAAATAGCAACAAATAACCGGATTATATGAGTCTTTTTTTGGTAAGGGCATAAATTTGAATGTCTCATGACCTGATAACATAAAAGCAATCGCAGACAAAAGTTGTTTAAAACTAATTTTTGAAAAGGGGAAAGCGGTGAATAAATCAGTTTATTTGGAATATTGCTCACTCAGCCTTTTTCTGACAAATTAAGCTGCATTGTTCAGAACAATATATTTGGGTTTTTTTTTTTTGCTTTTGTTGACATCAAACCTGATTTCATTCATATTTTCGGTCATATTTTCGGTCTACATACTATTGAAATAGGTAAACCACCGCGCAGCGATGACGTCATCGCAACTAGATGGGCAATTCGAAATAGTCAAAGATCAAATGTGATAAGGGTGCGTATATATATGCCACCTGTTCACGATCACGAATTGTTTTGTCTGTGCATTCATATAATTAATTATCAATTTGCATAACAGTTATTACAAATGCAAATAGTTGTATACACTAGGGAAGAGAAAAAGAGCAAAAACTAAAGAAACAACAACGAATAACCGGTTTTTCCTCAAGCCAAATGGGTTTTCGCAACACGATTAAAAATATATATATATATATATATATATAAAGTATACAAAGAGGTAATCGCAGTGGTAATTGCAATTTTTGGCTGCCTACGCTTACCTTGGCACAGTGACAAACAGTTTGTTTTCCCAGCGCTCGACGCCGAGCGGTAAATTGTTCTCCGCAATGTAATGGCCGCTGGTTTTGGCCTCCGTCTCGGCCTCTGCGCTGGGCCAGTCGAAGGTCAGCTGTGTCCATGAGAATCTTTCCTGCAGCTTGGCATTGATGCCCAAACAACAGCAACAGCTGATCACGCACAAAGCCAGAACTTTAACTGAATACATGTTTCTGTTTCTTTTACGGTTTTCTTTGTATTTTTTTTTTCTTTTCGATTTTCTCAAAATTGCCGTCTACCGCGTTCAAACTGGGGCTTCCGTTGCGTTCAAGCTGAGCGCGCCTACTGCAATACTTGAGCTCCGTTCAGAGCTTAATATGCTGGCGAAAGCTTAAAGCTTTTGCGAAGCTCTCCAACGGCTAACGGCTTAAAGCCCTACTGCAGCCCGAGGCACAGCAGGCAACAGCTGCCTTCTTTTGAGGGTGGGTCGCTGCCAAATTAGCATAGGCGGAAGGGAATAATAAGGTATGGTAAAAATAAATGTTGCGTTAAGAAGTCTATAAATGGACTGCATTCATTTAACTGTTAATTGCAATTTATGCGTAACTCATCGGGTCAGATGCTATTGTGTGTGTGTGTGTGTGTGTGTGGATACTGCTCTGAGCTGAATCCAATTGGAAACTAGTTTACAGTTGAAACGAGTTCTCATAGGATTGTGTCAATTCAGCTGAAAACATGGAAAACTACGAGTAAAAGTTAACAGAAAGCCGGTTCCACTATAATTGGCCGTTTAATTCAACCAAAGCCTAACAATTCTAGCTATGGCCAAATAATTTTGGCTCTTACGCTATTGAATATAGTTAAAAAAAATAGCTGAAGAATTTATAAAAGAGCTACAGCCAAACATTTTAGCCATGATTATTATACAGCTTGTAGCTTTATGCATTTAAAAATAGCTATAAAAAGCTGAAAAATGTTGTAAAGAGCTTGGGCCAAGCATTTTGGCTATGGCTATTATGCCCATAGCTATAGCTCAACATTTTGTTTAGCTTCAAAATGCCAACTCTAGCCAAAAATGCAGCTAAGAGCTAAAGCTAAACACAGGTCCAAGCAATTAAGCTGCAGCTATTGTAAATTTTAACATAGCTTTGGCTAAAAAAACAGTAAATCCGAGTCTTAACAAAAAGTTTTAGCTACATATAGCTGGCTATATGGAAAAAATTGTATTCGCCTGTCAATTAATAATAAATACATAATAAAAGCATAACTTACGCAAGAAGAGATATTTTAATCCGTTGCTGGGTGAATACTTGCATAAAGTATATAGAAATTTCCTTAATAACTCTTAAAACACGATTCATTTGAAACAAAAAAAAGTAAATTATCATACCCGTTGACAAACACGGCATTTGAGTATAAAACAATTGACTCAGGAGCGGGGCATATGGTAATTGCATTAATCACAATATCAGCATCCAGATGTTTGTATGATGCATATGAGTTTTGGTTGCCGGGCTGAAGGTGAAAAAATAAACGAGATTTGTTTTGCTCTTTCCTAAAGTACACAATATCTTTGCCAATTGAATTTGTTTGCTTTTTTTTATTTGGTTTTTTTTTTTTTTTTTGTTGTTTTTTGTTTGTGTTTATTCAGTAAAATTCTCATATTCCGTTAATTAGACTTTAAATGAATTCGTTAATGTTACTTTCATAAGAACATACCGAGTTTTCTTTGCTTCATATTGCTACAATTGTATTTGTATTTGCTTTCACTAACATTAGGTTTGGAAAATCAATTTGAATGCGGTTTATTTACTCGTGTTTTTTTTTTTGACAACAATTAGCTTTGCTAAAGTTATTTATTAACTTTTTGGTTGTAGGTGTCCGGCTGCAGTTAGAGTTATGGCTGTGTTTGTGATAAACGATGGAAAAGCAAAGAACCAAAATCAAATTAACATTTGAGTTTCGAGTAAATCTTGCAATTGTCGCTTAGTTTTTAGCTTAACACGCTATATACAATATACATGTTTTTTAAATTACGTCTACCCTAACAGCATTCCCTATATATGAATTACAATCCAATTAAACTACAAATTCCAACGATCCTTAACAATATATTAAAGGTGTTTTTCTTGCTTTCTTCATTTGACTTTGGTTTTTATATACTAGAGATGTCATTTTTGCAATGTGTAAATTTTCTTATGCGCTTCTTCAATTCGGCTTCTTCTATTCAAATACTCGTATATATATATATATATATATATATTGATAGATGTACATATAAATATATATATATATATCATGCATGTTTGTGTAAGTAATTTGTTCATCATCGTTAATTGTGTGTGTGTATAGTTTTATTTCATTTAACGGCTTAGATTTTAAAGTCTTTCATTTCGTAGGAATTTGATGTTGTTTATGTTTTGGTTTTTTTTCATTTCTTTTTTTATAGCACTTTTCGTGATGAATAAGAGTGATTGAATTTAAAAAAGGTTCCATTTCAATTTATTTTATGTGTATATATATTTGAGAAATTTCTCCAATAGGTTTCAGTTATCGTTTGTTTTTTGTTTTTTAAATAAATGTCAATTCCTATTTAAATAACGACGCATTTATTTTCACATTATACATTATTCTCCGATTTGTTTGCTTTGTCTATATGTATATATACATATGTATATATATTTTATAAATGCAATTTTAGAACTTACAGTATGTTCAAAAATTTTACTTTGCTTTTAGATTTCCCATCATCAATTTCTATGTGTATAATAACAGTACAAATAAATTAAAGTGTTGCTTGAGCACATAACCCCGCCCCCAAATATAATAATATAATTTTACCTTGATACTACACTAGATTATGCTATATGTTTATATTATTTATCTAAGATTTGCTATGCTTTCCTTACGATTTGTGCTACTTACGACTCACAGAAATTTAAACTATTTAAAATATTATATTCGTGTGCATAATAAATGTCAAGTACGATAATTATTGGACAGGCGCCAAAAATTTATACACGCGTACACAACATGACTCATACAAAAAACTAACACTAACTTAGGCTAAACTACGAGTTAAATAGGCCAAAGTTTGTAAGAGTCTGGTAGTGGAGTCTAGGAGCTCGTATTGCCACGGCATTAGTCAGGACTAGGAGTCCTGCTGCTCAACATAAACATGAAATGGAAAAGGCCGCCTTGGGAGGGGAAACAAACAGCATGAATGTGTGTGAGTGTGTGCGTGCGTGTGTTTCTAGCTCTAGGAGATAGCGCTGAGCAAAATAGGTTCATATGGGGAAAATACTCGTTATACAAGAACATATGTATTAAACACAACAATTGGTTTTCGTTTGCATTTAAAAATTACTTTAACTTTAACATGATTTCGCTTATAATTATTGCTATTTTTGTTGTTCTTTATTTTCTGTATTAGTTTAATGACGTCTATGTTGGGTTTGTGTGTTCAACTTTAAAGCCTAACAATTTTGTTTAGTTCACATTCTAATGTCGTTAATTATTTGTAAGTAATTTAAGAGTATTTCGTTTTAATTTAAGTACTTGCTAAACACGTTTAAGGTACAATACATATTTCAGTTAATCTACAAAATTGCTGCTACCAATTTTCAATAGTTAGCTCAGCTTAAAGTTGATACAAAGTTTATTAAGTACATACACATATTTATTAAGTTAGCGTTTAGCTTCATTTTTTTTGTATAATTCACCTATCACGCAAAGGAAATTGACAAGTTTTTTCATGTACGATGCTCATGAGTATCTGCAAGAGAAATAAATACGGCATATTTTCAGTTGATTTACGTTTGAATTTATATTTTAAATAAAAATTGACAGCGCCGAATGGTACATATATCGATATATCGATAACGCTAACAGTGACTATCGGGCTGCCGGAGACGATCACGATTGGTGCGAAAACAAGGTGTAAACAATTGTGAAACATTAACAGTCGATAGCTAGTATCGTATGTTATATTCATGTTAAGGCTCGTTATTGCTAGAACCGTTATATGTGAAAATTTGTGCGCGTTTTTGTGTACGCAAAAAGAAAAGTGTAATTAAAAGTGAAAATTGAATGAACTTAACGTTAAATTGCAATAACAAATAGCTGGGTGAGTTTGCATTTGATGCTGATAAACGGAAATACCCTTTAAACTCCTTTTGATAAGTGATCAATCGAATTTGTCAATGCCCGCAAAAAGAGCTAAAATTTCTAAAGATGTCAAATGTTGAGATTATATAAAGCTCGTCAAACAACTACCGCTACATTAGCTGCATTCAGATATATATTTTTTTTATCGTGCACTTACCTTGTGTGATTGCGAGTGTGGCTGCGGGCGTGGGATGCGCTGAGGCGGCTGTACTGATGATAGCAGCAGCCTGTGACTGGACTGCCAGCGAGGTTGTTGCCGTGCCGCCGTTGCCGTTGCTCCCGCCAACCGCGATGCCGGCACCCGATGCGCCATTCAGTTCTGTGCTCTTCGTATTGACGTCCCGCTCGACCAACCGCTGCCGTAGAACTCGTATCTTTTCCTCTTTCTGTCGGTGCACACAATTAGCGTTATTTTGGGGAATTTTGAAAATTCGTTCAATTATCATTCTATACCTGTGTTATCAATCGTTGTAGTTCCTCGTTTTCGGTTACCAGTTTTTGATAGCGTTCCTCGTCCTCCTTCGATATGGCCGAGTCTGGATTGTACTTTGATTCGGCCTTATCTTTTGGATGTCGTATGACCTCAATCACCTAAAGATCGTAGATGTTAAAAAGGGTGAAATTTAACGAAAACACTCAGGGATACATAGATACAAATTATCTTTAAAGAACAGTTTTGAAGCTGATCAAGAAAGTTTCGTATAGGCGTTTCTCACCAGTTTTTCACACTTGCGGGTGAATTTGATAAAAACGCTGTGTTAGTGTACAAAAACAATCAAAAATGCCATTTACCTTTGGCACAAATATCAGCAACATGCTTAGGAAACAACAGAATATCACAGCTAGTGCAACAAAGGCAAAAGACGCGTCCTGCTGCGATGCAATGACCATGCCCACTGGCGCCGTAATCAGGCAGAGCACAACCACATTATAGATGCTCATGCCCACATAGCGCGAATCATTAATCTGTTTGACTTTGATCGAACGCGTCTCATAGGCCAAGAACAGACCGAATACAAGTATCAGACCCTTAACGCCATAGACAAGCCCTGAAAAAAATATGTTAAATCATCAGTGTAATATTAAAAGATACAAATATATAGCTGGCGAGCATACCTAACCACATGGAATTGCGTTCACTTTCGCAATGCTCAAGCTCT